CCTAGCACCAATCCAGGCATTGTTGGGACGATCCGCATTGTCAGGGCTGCTGGTCCGGCCCAACTCTGCTGCACTTCACAATTTGATGAAAGCGGTCCATGCAAAACGCGAACAGACCAAAGCTTTAATAGCTGAATTTCTTACCAATACAGGGTGTTGTTTTTGTAATGATCACGGGTTCCATGTTGTCTTGTGTTAAGTCTGTTCGGCGAAACTTCGTTGCCGGCCTGCTATTCATAGTCACCGCTAGCTAGAGGCGTCATCTATTCAGCACCGTCAAATGGAAGGGCGGATAGCCCTCTGTAGGTTCTTTTTGAGGTATCATTCGCGTCTTCAAGTGGGAATATCGTCTTGTGCCGGACAGGTGTTTCCTCCAAAGGCCTTGTTTCTGGCTTGAATTTCGCCGCCCAGTTCAAAAGACATGAACTGTTACGACCCTGTAAGGAACACAATGCTTAAAGACTACACAGAGCACACTCACCGTGAAGAAGAAACACGTATTTTCCCCTCTCTTCAAGTGGACTCCTGTTTCTATGAAAAAACAGAAACCCTCTGCAGACCTGCAAGTAAAAAAAACAACCTGTACCAAACATCAGCTTAAAACAAAACAGTTTCTATTGCGTTCAAGTTTCAAGTAAAGATGCATGGAATCAAAATGCTTTCAGAGGCTGAACTCATTTGTAGTTCAGGCTGACAAGTTAATTTCGAAAAATTGCTTGTTATTGGGGAAGGCGTTAAAGATATCACTATTCTGTCTCAAACAGTGTTTCTGGCTATAAAAGTCCTCAAAAATGTAACTCGTAAGTGGCAATGATAAAAAACTTTACTTGGAGCTGAGTAATGAACATTTTGCATATTTAGATATACAATTTTTTTGCGTTGATCAGAAATGCCCATCTCATCAGGTAATGTGAAAAAGCCTGATTTCAGGCTTGTTCGTTTAAAATGTTAGACTTAATTCGGGATGGAATGTATACATGTATTTAGGGGTCTTTAGGCTTGTTTCCAGGCACTAGATAAGACATTCTTTGTTAATTAGTGCCGGCTCCCCGAAATGCTGTCTCATAATATGCGCTATAGGGACATAAAAACGTAACGTGTACCGCCTTACATTAGTTGTCTGCTTTGAACATTCGTTGATGTGAGTGAGCCATCCTTCTCGTTATTATTGCTGCCTTTATGTCAAGTGGCCGTGTTGGGTTGAAACAAAGTCTACTCATTTAATTTACAATTCAAATTAACCTGCAGTTCTCGTACTTTCACCTCCTCTGCTTCAAGTAACACACTTTAAACCTTGTGGATGCTCGCCACTGTGATAGCTTTTGATGTTTACAGCCCAAATCACTGTCACGCCAATTGAAGGTGGTGGTGTTTCAAATCTCGAGTAAGTAAACCTAGCAACATGAAAGTGAGTCACAACGTGTGGGGAAAATATTTGGAAAGCGGGTTCTGTACAGAGATGAAGTTTCTCCTGCGATTTTTCTGGACTCGAAATGGACGTCCGGGTGATTGGTTTGATACGGTACATCACATAAATAAAAGTGACTGCCACTGAAGCAGTCTCACGGGCCGTAATCGAAATGTGATGACTCTAGTACATTTTCCACTCAAATCTGATTTTTGTTCAGCCCAATGGTCTTTGTTGTTTGCCCACTCAAATATTTGCACTTAAGGCACACAATCTCGTGCACTGTTATCGACTTTCCTCACGGGAACTGAATAGATGGTGTACATATTATCCGGAAGACCTTTGTTGTTGAAAGCTAAGTGAGCGATATTATTCCAATTTCTGGTAATGCATCCTTTATTCCATCAGCGTTCATTTACATTGGTTGCTCATTATTGAGAGTGGATCAAATTAATACGAGGGTCTGAATTGCAGATTGCTAAAAAAAGACGTTGGTAAGGAAGGAAAAAACTGGAACAATTATCTTAAGTGCGAATACTTTATATTTCCAAGATAGCACCGGGTGTTATTATAGGTAATAACATCCGCTGGACTGGCATATTTATCTTGCAAGGCAGGGTTAATATTCATGCCAAATCTTCTCTGTACATCCTGAGAATGACTTGAATCAGAGCTGTTCATAGAGATAGTTGCGAAATGTGTGTGTTGTTCGTTGGAAACAAGATGGTGAATTATGCGTCAGTGGACATGGATAACAAAGAGCCAGTTTGGTTTCAAAGTTTGAACTTGTCTCAACTCTACAGCTCTGAATTGAATTCATAATAAGAAATAGCCACAGATAATAAAACATGTTGAACTTGCCTGTGTACACGGACAAGAAGTCGAGGGGAAGCTCCTTTCATGTAAATCGTATATCTCGGAGAATCTTGCGACAAGAAAACGAAAAAAAACAGGGTGGGGATCTTTGGAAAAGGAGCTCACTGTTTTTTTTAGGCTTCCTTTGCTTACTGAAGCTTGGAGCGTCCATCGCAGCTATCCATGGAGATTTGCATAATTTGCTTGTTCATGAATTACTATATTGTCTTTTGAGATTTCTTTCCGAAGAGCAGTAAACAGAACAACCTCTTTCTTATTTCTTCCTGCCTTTCCAATTAAACCTCTGCTGTTGGGAAGGTTTACGAATGTGTTATAATGTAAAGTGTTTGCCCACCAGGCAAATTTAATAATGCCTGCCATTACATTTCACAGACGGAAAAATTCAATAACTGCGGTTTAACTTGGACAGGAGTGCTGTATCGATTTGGGTTTTTTTCGACACCCTACTGTTTCCCGTGCGGGAGGTTTAATTACCGCGGGAGTTGTCTCCAGCTCGAGCCGTTGGGCCTTGTTTTGTGTTTCACTGTTCGCGATTTTGCATTACTGCGTGTACACAAATTTCAATGTGCATGCCTCTTCAAAGACCTTTTCACCGGCTTTGTGTATTTTACCTGAAAAACCCTATTCATACAAGACTCGAGGGACCACCTTTCCTTGTCAATTAGTGGCCCACAATATGACAAACCTGCCCACGTGGTTTGACATTTTTGGACTGTCTAGGCAGAACTTGCAAGTTGCAAAATAGACTTTGTACAGTAAGAGTAGGCCTACCCAAAGGGCAGTTTTTTGTAAAGAAGTTTGATTTCAGAATGATTTTAAATCTTAAAAATGGGAAAATAATTTTCCTTGCGGTTGGCAGTGAACGATAGAACTTTTTATTTCCTTTTAATTGTCTTGACGAAATTGGTTTATTGATTTACATGAACTACTTTTCTGCAGCCATGTAGAGTATTTTTTGGTACTTGTCTACTTTTTCTGCTCAAGTAGTTACAACGCTGTGCAATTTGCCGTTCAGATCGTTATCGACTGTTCCCACATTGACATACATGTAGTTGTAAATACAGATCCTACGGCCAGCATGTAATGTCCATTAGTTATACAAGGCATCAGGTTCCTCCCCAGAGAAAGCAAATTGGTTCCGGTACTCATGTATACGTAGAGCTCATGTAAATGTATTTTTGCAACTGGAACAAAATTGTGGACGTTAATACAGACGCTGCCTCTCGGTTCGCCCTGGAACGATCTATTGGAACGTGTCATTATTTTCTGGGCGCCGCGAGGGGGAGGTAAAAAGATAATGCATATTTTAAAGATTTGCCAAATGTGGCTAATCATTAGTGGACAAACACACGCAAACTTCGCATGCCACCTGTCTGTGGTCATCTCAAATGCTGCCCATTTCCCGCCGAATTCGGTGTAACGCTATTGGCCCTGAGCTGAAGTGCACCCTCACCGGCGAAAGAAAGACAGATGGTAATAAGTTTTCCAACCGTGTTCTCGCAAAGACCACACATTCTAGACCAAAACCGTTGCGCGTACTCGGCGTGCTCCGCGCCAAACGCGCATAGATTTGCGCACCTATGCGACGTGTGAGTACCAGAGGACTGTCAATTTCATTTCAAACACGCCCTCTTTTGTTCCTGCTCTGACCGGATTAGAATGTAAGCGTTATAAGAGTGGTTTGTCCCCTAGTTGCGCGTCTAAACCCATCACCACAAGCGCCATTTATGCTTGTAGGGGACACTTAATGAGTGTGATTTATACTTACTGTGTTGTTTGAAGAAGGAATCTCATTGTAAAGTGGCATTTGGCGCCAACAAATGTTTTTATTTCCACACACACACACACACGCACACACACCCACACACAAAACCAGATTAGTGATTTAATAAAATTCTGTGTTGTCAGTGAAATGAAAATATGGGAGAAAATCGACATCATCCGCTCCGAGTGGAACAAAAGAGGGCGTGTTTTTTGGTACTCACCACAGACGTATAAACACATAGACCATCAATGTTGCGCGTATTACCGTGATTTAGAAAATCGTGGGCAAGCAAGCAATGGGCGAAACGATGGATGGAAGCGTGTTCAGTGCGAATTGTGCGTGACGCACTTGGAAGACATGTGTTTATTTACATGTGCTCTCAAAATACTTTCACTTTTTTGCTCTTCGGTACTGCTGTCTCTTCTTTTGAATGTTGCAACCGCACTTTTTCGAATCTGCACGGACCAGATTAAGTAAAATAGGGGATTTTCTTCACAATCGCAAAATAGTTTCGTAGAATTTTATGGCTGGAAGTCTTCAAATGTGCGTAAATTTCCTACACTGAGCGTTGAATTTGCCCAGGCTTTTGGATTTAGTCGGGTGCAATCTCAGCTACGGTACCCCGCCGTTGTTTTGAATAGGAGCCTTCCGTCTATGTGGTACTCACCGCACAGGCGCGCGTTTATAATGGAGATTAATGGCGCGTTTGACGCGGAGCACGCCGAGTACGCGTAACGATTTTATTCCTTAATGTATTGTCTCTGCGTACACGCAGAACGCACGAAAGAACCCGCCTGGGAAACGTACTACCTCTGTCTTCCTTTTGCCGCTTGGGGGTTCCCTTCACCTCGGGCTGGAAAAAAAAAATACCTTGTGTACTTCTGTGAAGTTCTTTGGATCTTCAGAAGTCCTTGATTTTCATTCGCTTGTCATCTCCTTATTTTCTTCAAGGAAACGAGAGAAGAGGAGTTGAACAAACTTGCTTTGGAAGAGCTGCGAGAAGACCTTGTTGACGAGTTACTTGAAGACCTGGTCGACAGAGCTCAAAGGATGCTTAGAGGGCCACCAAACAGCAACCTAATCAATTTGGTGTCTGGCTGGCACTCCAGCGGCCGTCAGAAGAAGGGTCTCTTCGGAGCACAGCAGCTGACCCATGTGAAGAGCGGCTTTCACAAGAAGAACATAGACGACGACGGTTTGTTGGGCGCGTACGCCGAGGACAAGCGGGGCCGCTCCGTCTTCGGCAGCCGGCTCACCAACCTCAACAGCGGCTTCCACAAACGGGGCGGTGAAGACAAGCGTGAGGGAGAGGAGTTCAAAAGAGGGCGCACTTCGTTCAGTCACCAACTGACCAACCTGGCTAGTGGCTTTACAAAGAAAAGTGACGAGTCGGATCTGTTTCAGGAAGACAAGAGAGGGCGCACTGGTTTCTCAGGAGCCAGCCGTCTGACCAATCTCAACAGTGGATTCTCGAAAAGGAACGATAGACAAGAAGAGGTCAAGAGGGGGCGTGCTTCGTTCAGCAGCGGACTGACGAACCTCGCCAGCGGCTTCACAAAGCGGGATGACGAGAAAACGAGCCTTTTCGACGAAGACAAAAGAGGGCGTTCCGCGTTTTCTGGTGCCAGTCGACTGACCAACATCGGCAGTGGCTTCAAGCGGGGCGGCGACGAGGGGCCTTGGGAGGAAGGTCCGGAGAAGAGGGGGCGCTCTGCCTTCTCGGGTGCCAGTCGACTGACGCACATCGGAAGCGGCTTCAAACGAAGCGACGACGAAGGGCGCTGGGAGGAGAGCAAGGACAAGAGAGGGCGCACAGCATTTTCGGCGGCACGATCCTTGACCAACTTGGACAGTGGCTTTAAGCGAGACGGGAATTTCAATACTGGGCCGATGGTCCACATTCCTAGTGGGTTTGTAGAGAAAAGATCAGTCGAAACGCCCAGCAAAGAGTCATTGTAGTCAGTGTGCTATTATAAAGCAGTAGGAAGTGATCTGACGAACTCGCTAAGTGACCAGAACAATAACCTTGACATCACTTTTCTTTCCCTTTACATTTTAAAGGGGTTTAATGCATGAAATAAGATTACTACCAATTCGGGACAGATCGGATCTTATTATATCTAAGCTTTCGTCACCGCTTGCCTGTCAGTGTTGTCCTGGTTGGCCTTATATTTTCATGCTTCTAAAGTAAGATATTAATGTAAGCGTTCATTTAATCAGACGGTGCGTGTTTAAACAATTGAAATGAGAGCAAACATGGTAGCGTCTTTGTGCATTTGCCAGAGATGCCCTTGTTTCATGTACATGTATTCCCAGCCCCAACCTACTAATCTGGACGCACCTGAATTTTTAGTGATAAGACTTGGAATAGCATTTTTAGTTTAGAATATTGAAAGTACCAAAGACAGCAGCTTTCTGAATGGTCGGTTTTGTGTAAATTCTGTTTATAAACATCCAGTTATGTGGAGCTGTACTATTAGAATTCCCACCGGAGCTTACATGGAACAAAACCCAATGAAAAACAATATTATGATCTGTTTTAATAGGTGCTCTTTTCAAGACGTCCGGTTTGGCTCGAAGTGTCCCTGTGGAGAACAGGAGTTTTACCGTGAACGGATCAAAACTAGTGTGGGAACTTCATTCATTATTAAGGCAATGGGTCTTTGGGAGCAATGTTTGTGCAAAGCACGCAGGCAGAGAGTGCACTGCGGAAGACATTGGGGGTAACCGACTAAAGGGCCATTGGCACAAGATAACCTCAAGTCGGCTAGGACTCCACAATGTGCCACTGCATGTCGGATCCATTTCTTGGAGTCGATACATTTTTCGCAGTACGACTAAGCACTATGAAGTTCCGACTCTCTAGTTGTAAATCTTAGAAGGCAATGTATGACAGTGTTAAATCTATGACTTCATTCTAAGCAGTTTTACGGATGTTCAGGGGGTGTAATCCCGGAGGATGGGAGTATATATCCTTACGCGTTTTGACCAGGGAGACAGGCTTTGGAATCATCCTCCACTTTTTCGTGGTACAAAAAACAAAACAAAACAGAAGAAGAATTAACGCGGATTTTCAGGAATTTGTGGACCTTCCAGCGACCGAAATGTGTGCATTAACACTGGCAAGGGGAAAACACTAAAAGATAAACACGCTGTTTTGATGTAAGGTTCACGGGTGTAACTAAACACATTAATTGGGTTACTGCGCACTGTTAGAGGACGAGGGACAGTGTGCGCACGAACAAGTTAAAAAGTTCGAAGTTTAGTTGTTACAAATATCACAGTCACGTATACACTCTTATACAAACCGTCTGTTTCTGAACAGTTCCTCTAAACGAAACCTTTACATTAAAAAATCCCAATCTAATTTTAAAGTTTATCATTAAAATGACACGATGCGTCGTCAATGTTATTCCGTATACAAGATAATGTTATTTTGTGCGAATGTAATTATGTTCTACATCTTACTTTTAAAGGCGTTGTTATTCAAATAATGAATGCCACAATGAAATAAACAAAAAGAGAGGTGAGATGGAATTCCGCCTGAGATGATTCGTTTTATTCTTGGACTTCAGTGTTGGTGTCCTATTTATGCTGAGAAGACAACTCCTGATGGCGGAAAATTCTCGCGCCAAAAATGTAAAACCAACATAAGCTTTCCAAAGGAATATGCTGAAATCCTCATTACAAGTCTAATAGAGCTGCTTCCTTTAAATGATCTCAGTCAGTGAAAATCTTCATTATAAATGCTTGAAACTGTACAGTTCAGTTCGATCGCGGGTTTGTTGTTATGGTCGTTTTTGTTCACGCTCCTAGAAGTCAGCCAATGCACGAGGAAAAACAGCCATTCAGTAAGAGCAGTCGGGTCCCATGGTTCGTAAAGTTGGTGGCGGAATTACAGCTTGGCCTTTTGTAATACCTTTCACAAGTGAAATTACCAAACACCTCAGGTTTGACGGAAGCTATCGGTATCGGTATATATGAACATCTTTGAGCGCCTTACAAAATAATAATTTAAAAGCTTGTCTTACAAACCCAGCTACAAGATAACTTTTAACTGCTTTTCCTGAGTGTCAGTTGTCTTTTGTAGAGATGTACAGAACCAAAACTACGCTAAACAAGCCGATCTACTGCGGTTTAAGTATCCTCGATTTGTCCAAAACGGTGATGTACGACTTTTTAATCAACTAAAACGAGACTACAAAGACCGAGTGAAGTTGGTTTATATAGACACAGACTCTTTGTTGATCTTGGTTCAAACGGAAGACGTGTATGTATAATTAAGAAAAATCAAAGACAAAGACAAGATTTAAGTAACTACCCTCCAGAGTCTGAATTGTATTGTCCCAAAACAAAAAGGTTATCGGAAAGTTTAAAGACGAGTTTGGTGGTAAAGTCGTTTCTGAGTGTGTTTGTATCAGACCTAAAATGTATTCTATATTAACTTGTCAACACTCTATATGGAAAATTCGGTGAAAAAGTAAAAGGGGTCACCAAGGTCACAACGAGCAAACAAATAATCTGAAAGTCGTGTACTATTTTCCGTCCATTCTTCTTTGGCTTGAGCAAACTGCTCCATGGCCAAATCGTGTCTTTTGAGTTCTTCGTCTACAATATATCTGAAGGAAAAGACTTAACCAAACATTACCACCCGTAAAAATGCTAAAGCATTTGTCACCGCTCCAAAGATCACCATTTCAATACTAACAATTTTTTTCTTTTAAAAAGCTCAATTTGTTTTAAAACGTTAGCATTAAAAACTAAAAACGTACTAAACATGAATTACAGTAAAAAGCTCAAAGTGCCCAGAACCTTCAAAGGTTCAATCAAAGTAGTGATTACTCTCAGCCGAGTACCATCGCTGCCAATCAAAAGCTAATCACGATCGAGGCTACCACCCTTGGGTAACGACGACGACGTTATCATTCCCGGTACGATCAAAACTCGCTTTTAAACTCGATCTAGACGGAGCAATGGGTGACAACAGAACCGTGTACAACAACCTGGCTCTTACCTTGGTCGAAGAAATTTCTATTAAACTCCAGGGTCATTCCATCTCGACTTATATCGATGCCAACGTGTTTCACAACTTTAAAGTAAAGTCAACTGGTTGCCCCCTATTCAGACCAAAAACATGGCTTACTACGGTGTTTAGAAAGGGAAAACGTAGGCCCTAGCCAAGATTAGACTCGGAGCGGGGGAGCCCAGTGATCAAGCCAACGATGGAAAAGACAAAGCAATCGCTGACGCTGACGGTAACCGGTTTGCTAGACATCGAAATGTTAACAGACCACTTGCCGTTTTTGCCTTCGTCTCTGAAGCAACCTTTGATTTATGTACTCACGTTTAACGATCAAGATAAAGTAGTCAAGTCTTCGGACACCTCAGCCCAATACGCGATCTCGGACCTGACGCTAGAATGGGAAGTCGTCACTAATCGAGAACTCGCTCAAACTCTATAACAAGCACAGATGAGCAGTTAACAAATCGGATACCCTCTGGAACGTTGTCATCAACCAAATACCTCAAGGTCAAAACCCCCCACAGGTTCAACCCCAACATCACTAAGACTCTAATGAGGGCAGAAGGCAAACCAATTTACCAACACTGGAACGAAGCAAGCACGTTTTTGGAGACTCTCAAACAGAATCTGGTCGAGGTGAGCCAAAGACCTAAACATGATGGGTACCGATTTGGCTGACTAAGAAAAATACAGTATGTGGCTCGATTTTAGAAGTACCGTTGACAACGTGGGTTATGGTAGTGGACGCAGAGTAGGTTATTCAGGTGGCATCATGATACAAATGACCCGAGAAGCAGACACCGCCGGCCCACTGACGATGTACGTGTAAATAACGACGCCATTATTCGGCATACTTCTCTAAGTGGTATTCTCATAATGTGCCAGGATTGAAGGAAATCGGAACTCAGCAAGGACCGAAAGAAAACTGAAAAACACCGAAAAACCGGCTGCTGTTAAAAATTGGATTTTTTTACTTAATCACGATGTTACTATTCCGTGCATATTTCATTTTTTCAAATCAAGTTTAATGATCTAAAGCATCTCTCTCTTAATTCTTATAACACCAACTTGTTTACTTTAGAGAAATTCTTTGTTACGAAAAATCGGTCTCCTGACAACTTCCTATACCCCAACCACATGCATTGACTTGCATAAATGGGTATTGCACAATGACGCATTTTCCCCCTTATTAATCCATTTTCCCCCCAAACCGCTGCAGGCCGCTTTTGAGGCAATATGAGGTTTTTCTGTTCAGGTCTGTGGAAAGGTGTCTTACACCTCACAATCGCAAAACACAGAACTAAAACAACAGCTGTTTTGGTCGGTGACCGAAACAGCTTAAGAAAAAGAAAAAAATCTTAAGAAAAACAAAAGCTGCCTTGGCCGGTGACCAAAACAGCTACAAAATAATAAAAAATAAAAAAATCAAAAAATTAAAAAAATCCCAACAAAAACAAAAGCTGCCTTGGCCGGTGACCAAAACAGCTACAAAATAATAAAAAATAAAAAATTAAAAAAATTAAAAAAATCCCAACAAAAACAAAAGCTGTTTCGGCCGGGAAACGAAACAGCTAAAACAAAATCTTGACAAAAAGAATACCTTTTTGCAAAATGCGAACCCCCCCACAAAAAACCTTGACGAAAAGAATGCAAAAAGCCAAAAAATCAAAAGAAAAACATAAAGCTGTTTCAGCTAGCTAAACATCTCATTATGCGTACAAACACGGCTGGAAATACCCAAACATCAACGATGGTATTTAAATGCGAACGGGACCAGCTCGAATTTTCGACCGGAGGAATTCATCCGTTTTTGGTTAAGTATATATTGCCAATATATACTTAAGTATAATATTGGGTGATACCGGACCTTTGATTGGAAGAGAATATTCGGAATCATTGGGTCTGGTATCCAGATTAATCTGCACGCGGTCACAAGTCACGCACGTACGCGCATATTGGGCGGTAACTTCATCAGTGGTCCTCACCAGCGGCGTATATTTGCAGAGTTGTGGACACGAATCAGACTTGGATTTGAGTCGGACTTGAATCGCAATTTTTGTGCCTTGGGGCTTGATTTGTTGTGACTTGGCTTGGACTTGCAAAATGACCTGTGATTTGATTTGGACTTGCACATTATGACTTGTTTCCAACGCAACCACTCCTCAATCGAACCCATTGAAGTTTACCAACTTTAACATCTTAATAATTTATCAACTTATCTTTTTATCAACTTATTTGCCTTGCATTCTTAAGATAATCAGCTTCAAACTTTGTTCGGTTTGCGATTTCAACTTTGATCGTCTGCCCAAGGCCACGTCTGAATCACTTGGCTGTCGCTTGCAATCACGCATGGCCCCATCTGTAGACTCCACAGCCATGGACTATTAAAGCCGTAGCCAAGTGAAAATTCAGACGAACAATCTTTTCAATGTTTTGCACTGGTATATATTAAGGTACATCATGACCTCTACACTCAACAATCTTTGAGGAAGATCTACTCCCCGGAAAAGGATGTATCTTTTAAAAATGCCCTTAAGTTTGTTTATTGAGGTAAATAAAGCAGGATGACATATAAAATCAATAACAAAAATAGCTGTACCTGCGTGGTATTAATAAGAATCTTTGTTGTTGATTTGGGGTTAAATTAAAAGGTTTCAATGATTTGTAAAAACATTTTTATGGGTGCTTTTGTTATTTTATATATGTCCGTTTCGTACCAATTACGTCTAATGACGTCTATATGAAACGAATGGATTACACGCTGGTGTTCCTTTTGCCTTATTGAAGGAAGTAATTAAATGGCTCAACTGTAAATAGCATCAGGGCAATATCAACAGTTTTTTTCACTTTGTCATAAAAAAAGCGAAGTAACTGAGTTGGGGATACTCCATTTTCCATGGCTTCTTCTCGCAACTCATTTAATATCGCGTCAGTTTGCCAGGTCCCACTTCATCTAGAGGATTAACTTTCGATTCATCAAAGAAAAATTCTTGAAAGCTGAGAGGTAGTGATTTGTTCAATGAAATACATTTTTCCCTCAGTGCTTCCAGTTGCTTGGAAATGTACAGTTCCCTAAACTTACCCTTTAGGTTGTTGTCTGCTATACTTTCTCTAGCTACGGTTATAGTCTGGCATTTTGTTGTGCCCGATCATCCTGTCTTTAGGTGTTTATTCCAGATCTCATCAATAGAGAGTTCCATCTTCCTGTCGGCCATTGGAGACAGAAAAATGTGCATGTGAAATATGTAGCTTTGCAAATTGAGGGGTTCTGATAAGGAGTCGGATGGCTACCTGTGGGTTGGTTTCAGGTAGGAAAAGTTCCGGGAAATAAAACTTTACCGAGATACAATAAAGTCATTAATGTCTGCTCTACATCATAATGACAGCTCAATGACCTTTTTTGATTGGACAAAAATCAATCCAAGATGAAAGTACCGGTGTATCTGGCTTCCCGTGAGAAAACACATCCGGTTGGCTAAAATACTGTTTACCCTTTTCTCTCTGCTCAAATACT